ATCGTTATGACACCACCATCCAGTGTCTTCACCAATGGTCTGACACGACCATACAGTGTCTCCTATTTTTTTTTATTTTTATGTATTTTCTTGTTTTGTTCCTCTCTTCAAACTCAAGTTGGTTAGTTTCTATCCTCCTTGAGTTTGCGGGGGGCTGTTAGAATTTACCTACACCTACCACCACCTACTACCACACCTACTACACCTACCACCAATTTACCCTCACCTACTCCTCACCTACTACCCAAACCCTCTCCTATATAATGAGCTACTCTGATTTGTAATATAACACATCAATCAATAATATCAATTATCAATACATATTTCATTCTCTCTATTTTTCCATACATCAAATTTAACAAAAATAAAAGACCTATCAAAAAGTTTATTATCGTGTTATTACCAGACTCCACTTCTCCAAACATTTGGAGTTTTCAAGCACACTCAGGGTGAAGTGCAGGAAACTCAAAATGGAGTGCAAATTTGATCTTTATAGACAGCATAAAATTTGTGGGGAAATCATTTGTCCTCTTCAAGAAAATAATGACAATTTATCCCCATTGAGAAATTCACAACCCCAGGGAGCAAGAAATACACACCCAAACAAAAAGAGAAGGCCCGGAGGATAACATCTAGGATATAAGAATAAAACTAAGAAATACTTGTGAAACTCTCTCCAGCTAATAATCATTTACAAATTTTTGAGATCATTAGATTATTGACTTCAAGAGCGGAGCTAATACTCTTGCCTGTCAAATGACCCAAGTGAAATTTTAAAAAGCAGGTATCAATTCAATATTTTCTATAATATATGAGATTTTTCTTTAAAAAATGAACACACTAAAACTTTTTGAAAAAATAAAGAAAACAGTCAATGGTTAACATCCAATTCAAAAGCGTCTTTTAAGTAAAAATTTCAAGTCACCAATCCCAATCTTGAGAGCAATAGTTCTTGAAAAGAGTATACATTTTTGTGATTGTCATCTTAACAATTATGAAGAAAAGTAAACAACACTTGAACTATAATTTTCTTAATAATATTTCAATTTTTTCAATTCATCAATTGTGTGAAATTAAAAATAAAATAAAATAGAAGTCAATTGTTTGTGTTTAGTAAAATTACCATTTTTTGTCTGTTTACAAAAACAAGAAATATGTCTCCTTTTTCTTCTTCCCCCCCGGTGGGCGAAACCACAAAACATTTTTGGCACACATGTTTTCAAAACAAATAAAATCAACCGGAAGGGGTTGTTAAACAAGGAGTGGAGTTTTCGAAGGGGATAGAGAATGAAAACTTGCTTTCAAAACAAGTGAAAACTGTTGAAACAATCTTCTGTGTAAAATAAATAACTTGAAACCAAATCAAACAAATAAAAAATAAATTACTTACATAATTTATTTACCGAACTGCATAAGTACAAAAAGATCAAGTTGAGTGTGTGACACTCTGTCCTTAAGACAGATTTGCCCCGCTTCGGTGTTTACGGATAAATAGCGTCTATCTCCCAGGATTCAATGATCTTACACAGATTGTAGTAGCACTCCAAACAATCTGTATGGCGAACCAAAACCTATTTTCTATACTTTCAGAAATTTTCCTAAAATAATATGAAGAATATATCTATGCAAGAGAGCAAAACTGAATGGAAACAAGAAAATTTTTGGATCTTAAAACTGCTGAAAATGTCCTGGTATTTATAGGGCTGAGCAGGTATATTTTCAAACCGAACAGATATGAATTCAAACAGAACAGGTGCAAAACTGTTTTAGATCTGTTGGAAACTGCTAGGCAATTTTAAATCTGTCTAAAACTGTCCGGAACTGCTGGGCAGTTTACAAATTGTTTAACAATTTAAACTGTTGGAAAATGGACTGAAAAAAGATACTGTTTGGACAAGAAAATTTGGCACAAAAATTAAATTAATTTCGTTTAGAAATTCAAATAAATTTTGTCAAAAAAATTAATGTTAGGACCGGACCGACCCAACCCGACCCACACCAGCGCCCCGCACAGCTCGACCGGTCTGACGGATGGCGGCAACGCGCGCGTGTGGTGGTTTTAGCCGAGACTCACTTTATCCATAACTCATCCCTTCTACAAACTTGGAGTGCCCCTTGAGGCCCAACCCAAGTATTACCCCCTAGAACTTATATACACCACACATAAGTCCTCTTAAGTTTTCAATGTGGGACTACCATTACAAAGATACCCACATTTTATTCTTTAATAGTCCATTCCACGAACCAAAAAATGATGTCAAGTTCCCATTCACTCATAAATGGTTTTGACGAACTGTCTTCACCGTGTCACTTGCCATGCGGCAAGGAACACGTCACTACTTTGGACCCACCCCAAACGTGTGGGTCCCACTCAAATTTGGACTCAAAGTTGATCCAAAATAAGCCTATAAATACCATAAATTCCAACAAACACATTTATTTTTGTTTCCACATTTTTCTATAAGAAAAAATCCCCTTTTTTTGGCAATGAAAACAATATTAGTTGGCATTTGGTAAAATTGCTAGTTTGAAACATTTTTTGGGGGTGCAAAACAAAACAAAAAACATGTTTAGTACAAATGTTTTCAAAACGTATAAAAACAAAAACAAAAACAAAAAAGAAAAGCATGTTTGGTGACTTGTCGAAGGCCTGAAGGTGGTGATCAAATGATATGCATGGCCAAAGCGTGGGGGCAGAGGGAATGGAAATTTGTTTTGAAAACAAGTGAAAGCTGCTCTTTTTATTCCTCAAATTTTGGAAATTGTTGCCATTTTTTTAAAACAAATTGCAAAAAACATGTTTACCACAAATGTTTTCAAAACATACAAAAACAAAACCAAGAAAAACATGTTTGGTGAGTTGTTGGAGGCCAGAAGGTGGTGATCGAATAGTAGGCATGTACAAAGTGTGGGGATGGAAAAAATGAATACTTGTTTTGAAAACAAGCGAAACCTTTTTTTAATTCCTTAAATTTTGAAAATTTTAGAAACTATTGCATTTTTTGAAAACGAAAACAATTCCCAAACATATTTCTATTTTAGGTTTTCAAAAATTTTGAAAACACAAAAATGTTACTAACAAGCACTTACCAAACATGTTTTCATTTTCAATTTTCAAATTTTTTGAAAGCAATTTCAAACAGGCCCTAAGTTTTAAATATTTAGTCAATCAGTTTTGCGCGGTAGGTTTTTTTCCATCAATTTTTTTTTTTTTTTTTTATAATTATTATAGTAAATTTATATACCATATTGTGGTGTGAAGTCAACATTAGCCTAACTTAAGTAAACTAAAATTTAGCATAAATGTATCAAGTGACCCCAACAAAAACAAATCTTAGGTCTGCCACTTTGTGGTTTTCTGTTCTAGCAAAAATTGGCCAAACACTAAACACATTTATATGTTTCAATGTTGATAATAAGCATGCACGTCTTCAATGGGCAAGTACTGATTAATGAACTAAGCCCATCCCACCCACCTCAACCCAAACAAGTTCAATATCTATACAAGGGAATAAAATTATGTTTCATCAAAATGGCCTAGACTATTTTGTTTCCTAAGAAACCAACACAAAACATTACCAAAAAACTAAAATTTTTAATGTTTCCAATAAGACATTGAAACGCACAGAAACTCATAAAAAGACAAGGGAGTGTTTGGCAATCTCCTTACAAAATACAGTGAAACAGTGAATGTTTGGCAATCTCTCTCTCTCTCTCTCTCTCTCTCTCTCTCTCACACACACACACACACACACACACTGAACCTTCAAACTTATAACCTTTTAAACCTTTTTTTTTTTTTGAAAATCAACAACAAAATTTATTAAAGAAGAAACTTTGGAGGACAAGAAGTCCTCATACAGTGAAAAGGAGCCTAATGAAAATAAAAAACAACCAACAAAAAATAATAGAAAACAAGCAAACCCAATCACTAGGGGTTGCAAACAGCAGCCCAATCCCAAGAAATCAAGAAAAGACCTTTCTAAAAATAAGAGAAAACTTAACCTTTTAAACCATTTTCTTCTTATCTTATATTGAACCTTTGCCTTAACCTTGTTAAAAAGACCTTTCTAATCTTGTAACCAAAAGGATCTCCTTGCACCTTGGAAGCCCTTTAGTGTTTGTTTATTATAAATTATTTTTGATACAGTTCTAAACCTTATTTGAAAGGAACTTTATGCACATTGAAAATCATAAAAACTTGCGTTTAATAACATTAATCTTAATGACTTCAATTGAAATAGATTTGGTTCATTTTGACATTTACAACCAAATTGTACACTTGCAAGCCCTCTATGTAAATGAGCGAGTTTACCTCTAATATGTGCAATTATTTATTTACTAGCTAATATATATTCATTTAGATAAGTTTTAATTTTGTTTTCAAACATTTCTATGTTTCTAAAAAAAATTTGTTTCCCTCATATTTCACTATTTTAGAAACATTTCTATTTCCAAGCTTCTTGAAACAACATAATGTATAATTGACATGCAACTGCAATTCATCAGTGGGTACTCTAAAATGCTTATGAATGTCAAATATCAATTTAGCGGATAAACGTGGTATTGAGAGGTGGTCGCCTCTTAAGAAATTTCCTCCTACTTGAAATTTTCTAGGAAATATCAAATTATGTTATATAGACTTGGGTACGAGTATTGGATCCAGGAGCGGGTCCAAACACCAGACCATCATAAACTTAAATATTAAGATATTGGGATATCTAATGTATCCAAAAGTCGGATTTGGGTAAGGGGGCATGCCACAGCCACTTATATATATTGCATACTATATAATATTTTTAGATAAAATGCTGTATGTTATGTAGAAATGTACTTCAAATTAATTAGGATTTATGGAAAATATGGAATTTCCATCCCTCATCCAGGTAAGAGGCTAGAAATGTTTTCTTTATTAGCAAATGTGAATTTCTCCTTTTCCAAACATCATAAAAAATTGGAGGATCCAACGTGACCAAATTGGGTGTGGATGTTGGACACATATCCAACACCCTTACCCTTATCATATCTTGTGGACACAGGTAGTTTGAGGAAAATAACAAGTTCATGCAACACAGTAAGGAATACAGAAATTTTGCATCGTAGAATCAAATGTAGGATTCAGATTAAGTGCATAAAATTGCATAAAAGAACGGAAAGTGGAAGAGAGAAACTCACAAGAATTTTGGTGCTTCCCACTTTGTAAATATGCCACTAAAGGCTCCGTGAATGTGAGACACTGAAGTACTGAATTGAAAAAACAAGTATTTCCAAGGTTTTCCAGTCCAGCACCCTGTAAATTATTCAATACCATCCTTACAGTTAAGCTACCTCATGACTTCAAACCAAGTTGAAATTTCCCAAAGTTTAAACCAAAAATAAAAATAACCGTAGACACAAATAATCCAACACAATCAAATTAATCAAGACTCTACATCCTGACAACACAAATTTCAACTAGATAAAATTCAATCCACAACAAAATTCAGCAAGATTTCTCTTTCTTATCTTGATAGTTCAAAATTCAAAAAATTTCAGATCCACAAAAAAAACAAGTTCACCATTTGGATAGAACTAATATTGAAAACACCAAATTCTAGGTGACTATAGGAATAAAACTGTGGAAACCAAAATGAAATTTTGGTGAACACAAACAGAAAAAAATTAAAGATCTTGGTAACAGTCAATTTTATTGAGCATTGTAAATGATATGGGAAAAGTCAACAAAAATAAAACCAAAAAACAAAAAAATCTAGCACTCATGATAAAAATATCAAATGTTAACTGCTTAACAACAGAATGCACTCGACAAAAGGCACCATCTAGGATGGTTCTCGAAAAATGAAATTTATGAAGATCAAAAACATAAAATAAATATAAATAAATAAATAAAAACACAAAACTCCAACCAAATAACAAAGCAAGTATAAGACGGAAAAAATAATAATAATAATAATTAAATGAGGAAAGGACAAATACAAAAAACTAAATAAAACCTTTAATTATAAATATATAAAAAAAAAAAAAAACACAAATGATTAACCACAAGCTAAGAGAGAACATAACATGGCTGTTTGGTGGGGATTATACAAGCAGCTTATAGCTTATTTTAATTTGGAAGTTTGTGCCAAACTGTTTGGTGCAACTCTTTAGCTTATTAGCCAGAAATAACTTAAATAAGCTGGGGACAAAAAAAACCAAAAAAAAAAAAGATTTTCTAGAAGCTGAGGATAGCTTAAAATAATCTCAGCCAAACACACCAGGAGTTCTGATACAAATTATAGGAACCAAATGCACTTTCATACAACGTCAACAACTTGAGCTTAGTCACCTTGGAATGCCTAAGAAAAAGATTCCACAAAAATTATACAGTTCCATGTTAGTAAACAATGATAGACACCAGATCCAGGGTCAAAAAGGCAAGAAGTTTTTTTCTGTATAGAATCATCTCATAACTGCTTTAAGGTAGCCATGCCATACCCAGAGGATTGGAGGAACATGGAACTGTAACAAGATACATTTGGATCCACAAACTGCAACAAGATACTGAACATGGAACTGAATGATGAGCTACTAAACATGAAACATACACTGAATGGTAATACATACTGCAACAAGATACATTTGGATCCACAACAAAATTCAGAAAAAGCTTCCTTTTTGTTTCTTTTTTTATTTTTTTTTAAAAAAAAACTGATAATAAGCCAAAAACTAGAGAATATTTATCAAAAAAAAAAAAAAAAGCCAAAAACTAGAGAAGTTCAAATCAATGAAAATGCAAAAAAAAATCACCAAATTGAAAAATATTTTATATATATATATATATATGTGTGTGTATATATCAATAGCACCAAATTCAAACTGATCATATAGAATCAAAATTAAAAGTACGGTGAACACAAATGGAAAAAAATTAAAGGTCTTGGCAAAACTTGCCATTACCAGTGCATTTCGTATTGGTAAAAGATAGGGGGAAGTGACAAGTATGAAACCATAAAAGGGAAAATCTAACAAAGTAATAAAAACAACAAAATTTTAACTAAAATCCAATAGAGTGGACATGATCAAAGTAACAAATTCATGGAGAGGGAGTGAGAGCACGAAAGTTGCATTGATTAAAATACCTTAACAGCAGGAGTGCCAACAAGCAACTAAATTTACATTAAAAAAATGTAAACAAATATGCATTTGTGCTTGAATTTTTATAAATAAAATATTTATTAATTATTATAGAGATATTTTTATGTTATTTTATAGACATAAGTATACTACTATCCGATTAAGCATGTAAAGTTGATCTTATGCTAACTGTAAGCCTATAATATAATTAAACTACTACCAAATTAAGAATGTAAAGTGATATTGTGCTAAATATATGTTATACTATAATAATAAAAGGAATACTTGATAATATGATCAGATAGCTTAGTGATATTAAATAGCTTAGAGTAAGAGCACATGTTTTTTTAATCTTGATTTGATCATTCAATTCTCTCCAGCAACAAAATGTCATTTGGTTCTTTCCATACATGGCAAGGGTCACGTACTCACACCTCAGGTGGAATGATAGAATGCTCGCTGACCACTGAAATTATGGTCAAATTTTGTTAATAATGATCAAGTATTAAATTTGTGCTCCCAACATATGAATTCACACTCTCAAAAAATAACAATTCGCATATCGATCACAAATTCACTCTAAATTCACAAGATCACAAATTAGAGCGCCAAGTGTGACCTAATTCTAGCAGAGTGGGTTAGTTAGCACATGATAAAGGCACCCATAGGGAACTACTGAAAAGAGAAAATTACAAAGATAATAATAAATAATCATAATTGAACAACCACAAGAAAACTTAGTACACAAAACACTTAGGCCCTGTTTGATTAACAGGATTAATAGTGAGGGGATTCATAATCCATGGGATTAGTGTAGGAATGGTTATCTAGTTGGATTGGTGTGATAAATAATTCGCTCGTCCACGTTTGTTTTGTAGTAGACATGGACATATATAATTCCAATTACATGTTTTACATTATTAATTGTAGGATTGAAAAATCTATCAATTTTGTTGGATAGAATATCCATCGAAATTTAATCTGTATAATAAAAATTACAACAAAACAGCGGAATGTGAGTCCCATAGATTAATACCCCCGTCATGTGCTATAATCTGCCCAATCAAATAGGCCCTGAGGCACCAAAACTTCGGATACAAATTATAGGAACCAAAAACATGTTCATTCAAAATCAACTAGAGCTTCGTCACCGTGGAATGCCCAAAAATGTAGATTCCATGGAAATTATACAGTTCCAGTTTTGTACCAACTAATGCAGCCCATCAGATCTAGACCATTAGACAAAATTCCTCCTTGTAGAGACTAACCTCATAATCACTTTAATTGACCTACTTCATGCCAAGGTTGTAAATACCGTTCCGTACTGGCTGGTACATCCCATTTTAGTAAAGAACCAGTACACTAGACTAGCAGTTCCATTCCAATGATTTTACCTGCCTATCTTGTGTCATTTCAAGAATACCGGAAAATTTCGCCTTTTCTCTGGCCATACCAATACCGGTTGCAAATAAATAAAATAAAAACAAAAAGGAGAGGGATATTTGAGACATGTAAACGACAGTGAAATAACTACACAGTTGGATCATGTTTTCTGGTTGAGAAGGCTTTTTCAGCTACTCAACTTCTCCATCTTCGACAACTGGAGCAATGCCATCTCCCCCCACTTGCACTCTGCTTCACAACTCCTCTATCTCCATCCATCTACAAACTGTACTTGGCTAGTGTTGAAAATGAATGTGTAATAGAGGCTTTGGACGGGTAATGGAGAAAGATGGCCTTACATAAACCAACCTTTCATTTCTACAGAGATATGAAAGGGTGATACAACCAATGCAAGCTTGATATGACAATTGATGCACTTTAATTTTTTCTTTCAATTTTTTTAAATGCAAGGTGGGTTTTAATGACAAAGGTGCAAATTAGTTTTCAATTTTAAATTTATTGCAACCATAGCTATGTTAAAAAATTATTTAGAATGTAGAATTCATTTTTTATTCATTATATTCATAAAATTTAAAGAATAGTCCAATAAACTAAATAATGTCACATTATATTTATCAAACTTTATAAATAAATATAATATTTTGATAAATACATAATATTTAGCAATAAATACCATTACGCATCATAATTAAAAGTACTATAGCCGGTACGGTATTCAGAACATTGCTTCATGCCCCAGAGGGTTGGAGCAACCTAAATATAACAAGAAAATCAAAAGTCATGCCTCCATTCTTAAACCAAATGGAGATATGTTTTTCCATTAACAAGTGAATGTCTCTCCCACCTTGGCCAAGTGAGTTCTAAGAACAATCCTCCTCCCTTCATTGTCTAGGTGGAATGATTGGCATGACCTACAAAGGTGTGAATTGCAACTATCTGTAGTATGCTTTTTTATATATAGTGTTACAAACTCTTAAGAGAGATGGATCATGGAATCAGAGACCAAACACATAAACTAAAGCATAATTAAAAACATGTCATACCAAGTGCACAAGGCTCCTACTTCCGTGACTCGGACCTGCACCACAATGCTGGAGGTGAATAGTATTGGAAAATGGCTTTGTAATATCTTATTTTTTGCTAACTTTGAGCATTAATTAAGGTAGGACCCAAGCGTTATTTTTAAAGTTTCTAATTGGGTTCATGTTTAAAGTCGCGTAGTGAATAACATCGTGTATTTGGTTGTTCAAAACCATTTCCGGATGAATGAGAATTCAACGCGCATTTTCGGATTCGTGGAAATGATTTTAGGTGGGTTTTCTGTACATTTGTGAAATGTGTTTGTCCCTCAGAGGAAAGACTTAAGGATTTATATCAGTATATATACTCTAACTTGCCACACTTGAGATGGGCTCCAAGAGACACCCTAACTTTTGTAAGGAGGAGAGTTATGGACAACGTGGGCTTGGCCCAAAACCACCACACACGCGCCGCAACCGCCTGTCTGGCCGAGCCGAGCCAGGCAGAGCCGTCTGTCTGGTCGGGTTGGGTCCTAACTTTAATTTTTTGGGCATAATTCGTTTTGAATTTTTTCAAATTATTGCGGGAAAATTTTGAAATCATTATGGAAATTATTCAAAGTTTGCGCCAAAATTTCAATTTCAAAATTTCAAAATTTTCCAGTCGTCTCCTCTCCGAATTGGTGTTGTTCCGGTTGCGCCTTCCCGGCCATGTCCGAACAGCCACTAAATCCAACCCGAACAGGTGCAT